TGGTGCTATGTTTTCGTGCTGAGCAAGCATGCATCTGGCCGTTTTTAAGGTTGGGTGCATGCTTTCCAAGCGTAAATGTAGCATCCACGGGCCTTGACCCTTAAAGTTGGCACTTAGTTACAGATGCTGAGTCTACTGGTGCTATGTTTTCGTGCTGAGCAAGCATGCATCTGGCCGCTTTTAAGGTCGGGTGCATGCTTTCCAAGCGTAAAGGTAGCATCCATGGGGCTCGACCCTTAAAGTTGGCACTCCGTTACAGACGCTGACTCTACTGGTGCGATGTTTTCGTGCTGAGCAAGCATGCATCTGGCCATTTTTAAGGTCAGGTGCATGCTTTCCTAGCGTAAACGTAGCATCCATGGGGCTCGACCCTTAAAGTCCGCACTTCGTTACCGTGCAGTTTGTCACTGCCCCTTGTTTGTTGTCCTCATCAGGAGGCTGAACCCCCCCCCCCCCCCCCCCCCCYCTCTCTCTCTCTCTCTCTCTCTAGTCACACAGAACTGCACGGTGAACTGTAGACAGAAGAGCGAGAAAAACCAACTGGCCTACTTGCCTAGCTCAGTTGCTAAGGCCCTGAACTTTTTAAATATGGACCAGGTGCTGAGTACTCTCTCTCTCTCTCTCTCTCTCTCTCTCTCTCTAGTCACAGAACTGCGTGGTGAACTGTAGACAGAAGAGCGAGAAAAACCAACTGGCCTACTTGCCTAGCTCAGTTGGTAAAGCCCTGAACTTTTGAAATACGGACCAGGTGCTGAGTACGAACTCCAGTGGAAGCAGATGAGTTCAAAACATTACAATTCTGAATTACCTAAGTGGGGCCGGTCAGTTCGATGATGATATCTCAAGGCCGTGGCCCTTTCAAAAAAAAGAAAGGAAGGGGAAGAAAGAAAGAAAGAAAGAAAGAAAGAAAGAAAGAAAGAAGGGAGAATTTGTCTATCCGATCCAGGGGGTCAGTGTGGAAACGTGACCGTAGTAGAGAAGAGAAAAGATACATAAACATAAGTACGAAGGGGAACTCGAAAGACACTGTGATGTCCTTTTGTGGATCAGAAAATTGGGAGGCAACCAGTACCTCAGAAGAGCTGATGCGGGTTTCTGCTGCGTGCCACAAAAAAAAGGACGAAAAAACGAACCTGTGCGGGCGTCTGACTTTTCTTTCCTTTTTTGCCTGATGATGCTGCCAGCCAATTTTTTTTCGAACGACACAGAGCATTAGTGGCTGCTTCAGAACTGAATGGCTGGGAAAGATACTCATGGCTGGACAAGATCATGAGAAGAGGCACTCTCCCCTCCCTTCCCCCCCCTCTCTCTCCCCCATCCCTTCCCCCCCTCTCCCCCTTAACCCCCCTTTATAAAAAAGAACCTGGAAAAATCGGAACAGAAGTCAGGGGTGGAAAGCTCGAGAAAGAAAAGCAGAAAAAAAGAGGCTCACTTGTCTACCGATAGAATGCCTGTATTCTCTATGACACCATTGGTCGCGTGCACAGCTGAAGTTGTGGGGAGAGTAAAGGCACGCTAGAAATAGGAAATTAATTAAAAAAAAGTAATCATAAATGGTAAATGACAAAAGATCACAGCATCATTTATCGGAACCCAGGTCATGGCCATGTTGAGCATGCAGCATTCCAAAAATAGACTGACTGTCGTTCTGTGCACGTGGCCATGTTGAGCATGCAGCATTCCAAAAATAGACTGACTGTCGTTCAGTGCACGTTAGAACTGAATCTAGATGAGTAGATCCAATGGAAGAGCTGTTTTGCACTGATGCCTCTGTAGTTCACCCCAGTTTTTTGCTCTAATGCCTTCACACGTGCACAATTGCTGCAATACCTCCATTGGCTCCGAAGCGTCCCCAAAAAGCAGATTCGGCACACCGTAATGTCTCTAGATGTGTCTTTCGTTCTTAGGGCTGATCCATCACAGAGCAGCAAAGTAGATGTCTGGAAAAAGAAAAAGAAAAAGAAAAAGAAAAAGAAAAAGAAAAAA